CAATCCGACACGGCGACATCGACCACGACCTAGATCGACGGGCGCTGGATGCCCTCATCGCCGCAGCCCCGCCCGAGATGTAGTTCTCGCTACCAACAAGCGGATCGCCAAGGAGGCTTGGGACACCATCATTGCGGGCACGCATCGGCAGCCGATCGCGCCAGAAGTCCACACCGCAGCACTTCGCAAGGAGTGGGAGAACCGCCTTCAAGCCGTGTGAGGACGTTGATGACTTTGCTCTCCGCCTCAACACTCGCTGCGTAAGATGGTGCGTTTGGCGATGACTCCACGGCGAGGAGAGAGAGTCGCCGAAAAGCTCTTTTCGCTGCGCCCCCGAGAAGTACAAGCAGATGGCTCGCTCGATCGAGTCCCTCGCTGGATCTCTCCACAATGTCGATCGAGGAGGCGATAGGTCACCTCAAGGTCTTCGGACGCCGATGAGCCACGATTTCTCGGGGCCCATCACCATCGGGCGGAAGCTCCTTCTCACTCGGGAGCGAAGAGCTTGCCGGCCTAAGGTGACCGGAAGAAGGGAGCCTTCTTCCGCGACGAAGCGGTCGCAAGCGTGGCAAGCCACGCAAAGGCGCGCAGAGACGCCAGTGCCGGGCGCGAGGACATGCCAAGGGTGATGCCCGCATGAGGCGCCAGGCGGCGCCACGGCAGCAGCAAGCCGACGACGACGAGACGACGCCGCCAGAATCGCGCCGCCTTTGCCTATTGGGCCAAGGATCGCCGATACCACGACGCCGCCTGTGCCCACGCCACACAAAGTGAGGAGGAGCGGCTCTCGTTCATGACACATGCAAGCATCGAGCTACCTCCGGTGACCGCCGCCGTGACCCCTCCTCCACCTTGACGAGCCAAAAGCACACGCCTCCTCGGCGACGGCTCCTAAGAACGACAAGATCGACGGGTGGTGCCTCGATACCGATGCCACCCACCACATGACCGGTCGACGGATTTTTTTCACCGAGCTTGACTCTAGCGTTTGAGGCTCCGTCAAGTTTGGGGATGCCTCCGGCGTGGAGGTCAAGGGCGTCGGCCCGCCATCTTCACTGCTGCGTGTCTCGGTGAGCACAGTCGCTCACCGGAGTCTCACTACATCCCCGCGTTGAGGAACTCCATCATCGCCTTGGGGACAATTTGGATGAGAACGGTTCGCGTGGTGGTTGAGGACGGAGTCATGAGGATTTGGGATCGTCGCCGCCGCCTTCTTGCCAAGGTATCCAAGCTTAAATCGACTCTACGTCCTTAACGCGCGGTGGCACACCCCCTCTGTTTCGCCGCTCGTCGGGACGACGAGGCGTGGCAAGAGCACACGCAGCGTTTGGGCACCTTCACTTTGAGCCCTCAAGAGGCTCGGTGCACACGGAGATGGTGCGAGGCCCGCCGCCGTGTCTCGACCATGTGGAGCAGCTCTGCGACGTCTGCGTGTTGACGTATCCGAGGCGACTCCCCTTTCCCAATGGGCGAGAAGCCGAGCCAAGGAGAGGCTCGAGCTTGTGCACGGGACTTGTGTGGTTCCGGTGACACCGCCACACCGGGGAGGATAACGCTACTTCCCGCCGCTTCGTCGACGACCTCTCCCGCTACATGTGGGTGATGGTCCTCGGCGGCAAGGAGGAGAGGTCATGGACGCCATCAGCGCGCCGCAAGCAGTCGCCGCGGAGTATGAGCGCGCCAAAAGCTGGCGTGCGGCTACGACCGACAACGGCGGCGAATTCACGGCGGATGAATTCGCGTCGATCACTACCGACGAGAGGCATTGGCGCGCCACTACTCCGCGCCAGACAACGCGGCAGCAGCAGTAACGGCGTCGTCGAGCGGCGCAAAGCAGACGGTTGTGGGGATGGCTCGGGCCCTCCTCAAGCGAGATGGGGATGCCGACTGTCTTCTGGGGAGAGGCGGTGGTGACGGCCGTCTACATCCTCAACCGCTCGCCTACCAAGGCGCTCGACGGCGGGATGCCGTACGAGGCTTGGCATGGGCGCAAGCCGCCGTCTCCCACTTGCGGGTCTTCGGCTGCCTCGCGTTCGCCAAGGAGCTTGGCCACATCAAGAAGCTCGACGCGAGAGCACTCCGGGAGTGTTCATCGGCCACACGGAGGGCTCGAAGGCCTACCGCATCCTCGACCGAATATACGGCGTGTGCGCGCGACGCCAGCGACGCCAGTGTTCGGACGAAGGGCGAGGATGGGCGTGGGACAAGGCGGTGGACGACGGCTCGGCTCCGGCGACGACGACTTCACCGTCGAGTACGCCCACTTCGAGGGAGCCGGGGAGTAGGCGGCTCTTCTTTGGCGAAGCGTCTACCCCAGCCCCCGAGCCTCCACCGACCCGGCGCTGCTACTCGACAAAGACCACGCTCTCCGGCCAGACCTCGGTACGCGATGAGTTCTTCGCCGGTTCCACCACAACCGTAAGAACGCCACGCACTCCAAAGACCGACATGCACCACTCCGGGCACGTCTACTCCACCACCGGCTACCGTGTCGAAAGCACGCCCGGTTGAGCTCGCCACTCCGCTCTCTCACGACGAGGAGCGTTGCTGACGCGCACCACGACGGCGAGCCGCTGCGGTATCAAGACGATGGAGAACCTTCTCGGCGACCCACCGGTGCCGGACCGGTGCCTCACGACGGAGGCGCAGATTGCACCTTGCGTGTGACGACGGCGGCGAGCCTCGGTCGTTTTGAGAGGCCGAGAGACATGCGGCATGGCATGCGCGCGCGCCGCGATGCGCTTGGAGATGGATGCGGTTGAGAAGAACCGCACTGGAACTTTGCCGACCTTCCTCGTGGTCACCGCGCGATCACCCTTAAGTGGGTGTACAAGTGAAGAGGATGAAGCCGGTGCCATCGTCAAGCACAAGGCTCGCTTGGTGGCACGAGGTTTCGCGGCGGCGAGGAGGGGGTCGACTTCGACGACGCCTTTGCTCCCGTGGCACGGATGGAGTCCGTGCGACTCCTCCTTGCGCTAGCCGCCCAGGAGGGCTGGTGTGTTCATCACATGGACGTCAAGTCGGTGTTCCTTAACGGCGACTTGAAGGAGGAGGTCTACGTGCACCAGCCGCCGGGATTTGCGATCCCCGGCAAGGTGCTCCGCCCACGCAAGGCCCTCTATGGCTTGCGGCAGGCACCGAGGGCGTGGAATGCCAAGCTGGATTCCACGCTAAAGGGGATGGGCTTCGAGCAAAGCCCGCACGAGGCGGCCATCTATCGACGGGGCAGTGGAGGAAATGCTCTGCTGGTGGGTGTCTACGTCGACGACTTGGTGATCACCGGCACCAAGGATGCGGAGGTGGCGGCATTCAAGGAAGAGATGAAGGCCACCTTCCAGATGAGTGACCTGGGACCTCTCTCCTTCTATCTGGGGATCGAGGTGCACCAGGATGACTCCGGGATCACGCTTCGACAGACCGCCTACGCCAAGCGCGTCGTTGAGCTAGCTAGGCTCACCGACTGCAACCCAGCTCTTACTCCGATGGAGGAGAGGTCAAGTCGAGCCGCGACAAAGCACGGCGGAGGAGGTGGACGCTACACAGTACCGGCGTCTTGTGGGGAGCCTTCGCTACCTCGCCCACACACGGCCGGACTCGACATTCTCCGTCGGCCACGTTAGTCGGTTCATGCGGCGATCGATCGACAACGGAGCACCCAAGAGCTGTGAAGAGGATCATCCGCCACGTTGCGGGGACTCTCGACCACGGCCTCTACTACCCTAGGTGCTCTGGGGCAAGACACTTCATCGGGCATGCAATGACAATGACCACGCCCGGCGGCATCGACACCAAAGAAGAGCACGGCGGGATCCTCTTCTTCCTCGGCAAGTGCCTCGTTAGCTAGCGATCGGTCAAGCGCCAGGTGGTGGCCTGCCCATCATTGCGAGGCCGAGTACATAGCGGCCTCCACCGCTTCGACTCAGCGCCTCGCTCGCTCGATCGCTTGGTGATCCTCGGCAGAGACACTAGAGCGGTGGAGCTCTGTGGTGGACAACAAGTCCGCCTGCCCCGCAAAGAACCCCGTCTTCCACGAACGCAAAGCAAGCACATCCGGGTGAGATACCACTTCATCCGAGGTGTTTTGAGGAAGGGAGCATCAAGGCGAAGCTATATCAACACCAAGGACCGACATGGACGCGCTCACCAAGCCCTTGGGAGGATCAAGTTCCTTGAGCTCGCTCCCAGACGGGATGATTCAACTTTTCCACAAGACGACGCACAAGACTTAGGAGGAGAATGATGGATAAGTCTCATGTCTTTGTTTGGTCTTTTAGAAATTTGGCAAAGATATGGTGGTCTGCAGTCCTTGTGCTGTCCATCTCCTTGACTGACTGGAGGACAACATCTCCTTGACTGGAGGACAACATCTTAGCTAGGACAGCATATTAGGACAACATCTTAGCTAGGACAGCATATTAGCATATTAGACTAGCATCTTGGCATATGCTTGGCTGGCTAGCAGCCTATAAATATGTATCCGCAACCCCTCAGGTTGGCATGGCATTTGTGTGAGTTTGTATGAGAAATAAACCAGAAAATTGCTCCAACTCCTAGTGTCATCCTCTCTCGATGAGAGTAAGAATTCTACTACTACCAAGAGTGAGAATTCAGCGACTAACACAACGGAGACCTCCAGAGGCACGGGTGCGTAGTGGAATCCTAAGCCAGGATAGTAACGTGAAGAGAGGTAGAGGAAGACCGAAGTTGACTTGGGTAGAGGCAATAAAAGGAGGTTTGAAAGGATGGAATATACCCAAAGACTTAGCCTTAGATAGGAGTGCTTGAAAAACAGCTATTCACGTGCCTGAACCTTGATTGCTTCTGCTGGGTTTCAATTCTAGCCTACCCTAACTTGTTTGGGACTTAAAGGCTTTGTTGTTGTTGTTGTTGTATCCATTTTGCTATGTATCTAGACATATTATTTATCTAGATGCGTAGCAAAATGGATGTATTAAAAAAGTCAAAGCGACTTATAACTTGGAACGGAGGGAGTAGTAAGGATGGGTGGGAGTTAATGGCTATCTGCTTTGCGTTTGGCACCTTGATGTCCTTGTAGTAGTTAGCTTCTGCACTTATTGTTTGTTTGTGCAGAATGCTTCTGGCATTTTATGCTGAGAGGTTTTCTGTGGAGTTCAGCTTTCAGTGGAACCTCTTGACATTTCCTCATGGCGATTAAGCATTTTTATTATGGTGTTTGTCATTCTGTTTAATTTAGATTAAATGTTGTTTGAGAAAGTTAATAATATTGGGTTATCTGCAGGTATGGATCACTTGGACGAGCATGACAGTGATGACATGAAAGTAGGAGCAGCTTCTGATGGCCCCTCCAGACTCAGAAAGAAGAGGTCCAAGGTTTGGGACGAGTACAAGCCCATCATTGTAGATGGAGCAATTCAGAGCGCGGAATGTCGCTACTGCCATATTCGCATGAGTTGCAGAGGTGCTGATGGTCAATCCAATGGGACAAGTCATTTGTGGCGACACCAGAAAATTTGCCGAGCAAAAGATGGGTTTTGTCCAAGCCCACTTCAACAGGACGCAGACTTGCCATATGGTATGCTTTAGCTACTGACTAGTTCTTAAGAGAGATGCCAATTTTCATTTCAAGCAGCTAATACAACTGTAGACTGCATAATGATATTATGTGGTATTATGTATTTTGTAAGCTTCACTACATTGATCATCAGATGCTGTAATTTTTTTGTAGAAGTTTCTAGTTCCTTAATTAGCATGGAAGCTTTTAGGCCTTTACAATGGGACTGTCATTTCATGATGATTACCATTTTAAAGATAAAATATTTTCTTACATTTTTTTACTTTTAGTTCTGCGCTCCTACTTTAATGTTGTGAAGGATATTAAGTGGTTAGTGCTTGTTTAATCTGTCTCAGTGGCCGAGTTAAAAAGAAGCATTTTTAGAACACTTAAAAGATGCATTGTTAAACAGAGGAGCATACAATAGACTATGTACAGTGCATTGGCCTCTCATTTTTCTTTATTTCATAAATTTCGTGGTTTGTTAGTCTGTATGTTGTATGAAGCTAAAATCCTGCTTTCTTCATGGAAAATTTTGTCTTTCATTTTTTGTGCATATTATGACTGAACTATTCAAACTTTATACATTATACATATAGTGGTGAATGAAGTAGAGCCGGTGGACCAAATTCTTCCAGATTCACTTGATGAGATAAAGTTGTTGACTCATAGTGAGAATAGCAAATTCAGGTCAAAGGTCTGGAAGGATTTTATACCATTCTATGTTCAAGGGAGAGTCCAGGGTGCTGACTGTGTCCATTGCCACAAGCGACTCAGTGCAGATAAAGGTAGAAGCCATTTGAACCGGCATACTCAGACTTGTCCAGCACGGAGTGGAAATAGCCTAAATCATCAGAAAGGTGTGTTGTTCCAGTCCAGTATACCAAGATCTAAATCTAGCCTTCAAGACGAGCTTTCACCTGCATTGACAAATGGCAAAGTTCAGATTGCAGAATATGCTAGTAAGTTCCTCAAAGGCAGCTCAGGCGAACGTCATGTTCTAGCTTTACCAGCAATGGATGATATGAGTCCCTCAGAGCAAAATACCTCATCAGCTCAGACTGCTACTGATATAACCAGGAAACCTGACCAAGAAGCATCTTATCAAGAGTTAACTAGAATGATTATTTCACATGGCTATCCCTTGTCGATTGTCGAGCATGAAGAAATGAGAAGGTTTGCAAAGAGCCTAAACCCCACATTTAGCATGGCTTCAAGCATTGATATAGAAGAGTATTCAACTCTTTTGTTTCAGAAAGAAAAGGCTGACCTTAAGGAAAGAATTGCACTCTTGTCCCATCGGGTTTCCTTGTCAGCAAGTGTTTGGGCTCCTCATGGAGCTGAGGCCTCAGTGAAGTATCTCTGTTTGGCAGTGCATTTTATTGACTCTGACTGGAAACTTCAAAGGAAAACCATCAAATTTGGTGTGTTTTGGTCCTCACCTACTTGTTTGGAAAGGATGATACAGTTTAAAGAGGCCTGTGTGCTAGATTCTGATATTGGACCATTTAATGTCATACAGGAAGCTATAAGAGATTGGAATCTTGATCAGAAGCATTTCAGCTTGACGTCTGGCAGTGAAATTAGAAATGACGAGGGAACCGCAAAGCTGATGGACTTGCTCATCCAAAGGAAATGCCTTCCTATTAGAGGTGAGCTAAGCAATATCGCTTGTGTGAATGATGTGCTTAACAGCATTGTCTCAAAAGGGCAACCAGTGCTTTATCATGTTGGTAACATACTAGAGAAATTTATTCAGGCACATATGTCCTCATCTCTGACTCGACAGCAACTTCTAGAAGTTGTTGCACATATGGGATTGAAGTGCCCACAGGAAGATGCTAAATGGTGGCACAGAATTTACTTTAGGCTTGAAGTTCTTCTGCATTTCAAGAAGTCATTTCCCTCTGAAGAATTGTTATCTGCAGAAGATAACAAAACTGTTGAGTGTGTTTGCAGGATACTCAGGGCTTTTTATCATGCTGTTGAAGTGATTTGTGGTCCTGTTTGCCCCACAGCAAATATGTACTTCAATGAACTGTGGAAAGTTAGAACAGCTTTGCAAGAAGAAGCATCAACTGATCACACTGAACTTGCTAACATGGTTTGGGAGATGCAGGAAGCATTCAATGAGTATTGGCAAAATTCATTCGTGTGGCTGTCGATACCTGTTGTTCTTGACCCCAGATTCAAAATGACTTTTATCGAGTTCCGGTTGAAGCGAGCTTTCGGTACCGATGCAGAAAAGTATGTATCTGCCATTCGTGATACAATAAGGGAGCTGTTCCATGAATATTGTGGTCTTTCAGATAACTTGGGTGCCGATACATCAGCTCGTGAAGCTCGTGATGTTGAGTTGGATGGATTTGACAGTGATTCATTGGAAGATTGGGATGAGCATCTTAATGCACAGACAAGGAACCAACAATTGACTGAACTTGACAACTACCTTGAAGATGGTCTTGTCCCAAGGAAGGATGATTTTGATATTCTGAACTGGTGGATGAGTAATTCTACAAAGTATCCAACCCTTTCAGTTATGGCATGTGATGTCCTGGCAGTGCCAGCTTCTGCTGTTAATTTTGAGGCCGCGTTAAGCGGTGAGGTAAATGTAATACATAAGCAATGGAGCACATTAAGTATCAAAACAATCGAGGCTCTTGTATGTACCCGAGATTGGGTTAAATAGAATGGTAAGCTCTTCACTTTGGTTGTTCAGTTGATTTCCTTGTTTCAGTTTTGTAAGGAAGCATTGCTTTATTGGTTTGTCTTATTTAGCATCTTAATTGTCAATTCTCGATAAAATTTGATAGTGCACAGTTGAAACATTTCCACTTGCACCTGCACTAATATATCTTATTAGCTAGACAATCACAGTATCCATTTTTTCTTACTGGATACTGGATAGTTACTGAAAAATAATCATCAATAGGATCTGCAGTATCTTATAGAAATAAAGGGGTTTGTTCTCAACTAACACAATATTGAAACTGTGTTAACTTCTGGTTCCTCCCCCTTTTATTTTTTTTGCGCTTGCGTGCGTACATGTTGAAACGATGCATATCCATAGTGAATCTATAGACATACTTCGACACAAAAGGTGAGATGTAAACTTGTTTTGTAGAAGTTTATACAAAAATAAAAAATTTCAGGTGCACCTGCACTAGAAGACAAATTCCCAAGAATTTTGTCTTGTAGTGCATATGCACCTGAAATTTATCATTTTTGTATGACTTTTTTCTAGATTGAGTTTGCAGCTCAACTTTTGTGTTGAAGTACATCTACAGATTCTCTATGGATGTGTATCGTTTCAAATTGTTTGAAAACTTCTAAGTTTGTTTTTCTAGTGGATTTTCACATTTCCACCGAAAAGGGGGTTTGATGGTACTTGTGATGCAAATTACTTGTGATAAATTTATATAATCCTTCTCAGCTTATAAGTGAGACTGAGATAAGCTGAAACAATGAATGAATCTGTATTCTGAGAAACTTTGTATTGCAAAATGTTCTCATCATGGGAACAAATCAAATACAAGTAATAAATGGAGAAATTTAAATTGCTTTTATTGCGCTGAATAGAGATATTTGTGTTCATGGACTCTTTCTAGGGGTGAGTGGTACATTTTACAGGCTATATATCATGCTGCAGCGAACTATCAATGCTGATAATCCTTTTCTTTTCTTTTCATGATCAGAAGATTACAAGCAGTTCATAACCATAGTGCTTCTAACCCGGGAATACAGGATGATATCGCAAGAGTACACCGCCCATTTATTGTGCTGTATATCAGACATCTCGCAGCCACTGGTAATGGAAGCCTACCAAATGCGGGCTTCTGAGTGTTCACATGTATTATATTGTGCACATTTGTTGTCTAGTGATTTTATTATGTTACTATTAGGTATCTGGGGCAGATTATTTGTACAGTGCCAATGACGTGCTGCTACTTTAGCCTGATTGAGAATTCTTGTATGACGGCAATAGAAAGCCATTTGATGACTGATTGTTCTGTTTATGTTGTCTTGGCGTGCTGGTTGTGCTGTGCCCCTTCAAAATCTGAATTTTGGGGGCAATCCGCAATTAACCAGTGCTCAGGTTTATTTGATCTACGGGTCTTGAGGCTCGTAAGGTTACATCACCATGTAAATGATTGCTGGCTTCAAATCATACTCAATGTGGATCTTGAACATTGCGTTAATCTTGAATAGCATACTCCGCAAACGAACGCATCGAGAAACAGCGAATGAAATGAATGGAGGACTTAGCCCATTTTCTTCTGTGGGCTGTGGCCGACTGTCTAATTTCGGTCCACAGCCCATTTAAGCCCAGAAGCCCCATGCCGTTCTGGGTCGACTGGGTCGGGCTCCCCGCGAGCTCACCGCTTATATGTGCCCTGAAGCCCCATGCCGTTGCAACCCCTCCGCTCCCCTCACTACGCACCAATTTGTTTGTTTGCGTGTCTAAAAAAAAAAAAAAAAAACAATTTGTTTGTTTGCTTGTGCAAACTGTCTGATATGTCTAGCTATCTGTGGATATTACTGCCATTTATGCATGGCGCGAACCATTTTTTTCTTGGTCGGTTTTGATCAAGTTTGCAGTTTAAAACGCTTGTCGAGAAAGTTGATTATGTGGTATTGTTATCTGCAGTTATGGATCTTTTGGATTAGAATTAAGTACATTTTTAGCCCTCAACTAACTCTTGTTTTTGTCTAATTTTAACCTCCAACTATAAAAACCTTCTAACATTGGCATCTCAACTGTCAAAGCCATTCAATTCTGACCCAGAGCCATCTAAAAACTAGTCAAAACCGGCTTGGAGGTCAAAATTGAACGGTTTTGATACTTGAGGTGCCAAAGTTACACAAAGATAAGAGTTGAGGGACAAAAATAAACTTACCAAGGATTTAGTTTTTTAGATATTTATTTATCAAAAAAATTACATATTTAATTTACTTATTGATTGATAAATATTTAAACTTAACCTTTATAATTAACCATAAATATGATTATCCACGTAGATAACTTTTAAATAGTTTAAACGATACGTATCATCTGTTATAGCGAAATAATTATCTTTTGCATAATTAAATAATCATAAGTATAAGTTTTAAGTTTTAGATGGTACTTTGTTCTTCACAGACATGGATAGTATTGGATATTTCACATTTTTATCGAATATGGATCTAGAATAAGTTAGAGAAGGATAAAAAATGGATTTGAATACAACCATTTAATAAATCGGATACGAATATGAATATTTATGCTGATGCTAAAATAGATATGAATATCATATCTTTTTGGGTATTTAAACATTCGGATTCGTCTCTACATGCTACAGTACATAGCTTGTAACACGCTAGTATGAACTAGCATCACTGCCGACTCGAACCACACATTGAATGTACTTGCAACATAGTATGAACTAGCATCACTGCCGGCTCGAACCACACACTGACAATAACATAACACTACCTGTTGGAGATAAGAACCGACAAAGATATTCCAATGTCGGGTCGTGGCTTGACCCGGCATATCACTGCTATTTTTGTATGACCCAACGGTGTTTTAGCTACAGTATAAAACCCCAAACCACTTCTTCCTCCTCCCATCTAGCCCGAGCACAACCATCTAAGAAGGCATCTTTCCCCACCTCTTTGTCCATTATTGCAGTTATTTTTCACCAAATTGCTCACGGAGGGGCTAAGTTTTTGAAGGATTGATGTGATTTCCTTAGTTTAAGGTGGGTAACTAGCAATCTTTTGAATTTATACCTTGTTTTGTTGGTTACGTTGTCTTTTGATTCTCATGTTTGTTCTTTATCCATTTTAGAGAGTATTCCTCATAATTCTTCATGAAAGCATCCGAACTTTGGTATTCAAATATCTTTTAAAATCATGCTAGCAGGAGTTCATTTGTACACGATGAATCCAGATTCGAGACCAGCTATGGGAATATTACAACCTGTTTAAAAAAAACGAAACGCTTCAGAGATTGGAATGCTAATATTGCTAGACATAGCGTGAGTCTAGAAACATAGAAAAATCTAGGGCCTGACTTGTTGATGGCCAAAATTTGGACAAACCATGATTTTGGCTATTATTTAGTTTGCTATCAAACTTACCAACCTTTCACATTTGCCTTGCCAAATCTGTAGTAAATATTTTTGCTTGACTTTTTGCAACTTTTACTTGCCAAAGATCTTTGGCATTGCAAATTTTGAATAGTCCTCCCCTTGGTCCTCTTTTTATTTCTCTCTATGGAACCAATCATACCTATTTTTTTCCTCAGGGTGTGTTAGATTGTAGGATTTTTTTATGTTTCTAGTATTTTTTCATGTGAAAATAAACCGATGATTATGAAATTTCTACATGATTAATGTATAAGATTATTGAGTTCTAAATAGGGACTAGCAGATGTATATATACAACTTATTAGGTCTTATCGGGTCCATATATCTCTGACTCGGACTCTAGTCGTTTGCTTCTAGTTGCCGACGAATATGTTGGACTGCTGATTGGTAACCTAGGATATGTTTGGTTTACGACCAAAATTTGCAATACCAAAAATGTGGTAAGGGAAAGTTGTCAAAAGTCTACCAAAAATATTTATCACAAATTTGGCAAGCCAAATATAAGAGGTTAGTAAGTTTTAGTAGCAAATCAAAACATAGTAAAAATCATGACTTACTAGATAAATGCCCGTGCGTTGCACCGGGGTCATGAATTTTGTACATGTCTACGACGATAGATTTGATCACGACAAGCACCAGTGGTTATGCAGTTGCCTCAGCCACCTCTTTCATCTTGGCGGTGATGTTGACGAATGGCACGCGCACGCCTGTGGCTTCCATCACCGATAACCACTGCTACAAAAAAAAAAGATTTACAGAGTTGCCTCTAATTTGTATCAGAAGCTCTTCGACGGCGTGTCCAGCGTAGACGCATTGGCGAGGCAGGCGAGTAGAGGAGGTAAGGGAAAATGGATTGATAATTCACTTCTTAATTGATGCAGTATATATAAGGCATATATAAGAACAACTCTAACAGAAGAGCTATCCATGTTGTGTAATCCATATTTGAGTATTTTAGAAAGAAAAGAGATTCCAACAACTATTGTATCTAACTTTCTAAAATAGCAAGCCATATATCCGGAGTTCTCACATGCTAAATATAGCTTGCATGTGCCGCTAGCCATCTACCTCACCATAATAGAATGTGCCGCTAGCCATCTGCCCCACCATAATAGAAAGGCTGTTGGAGTTTTCTGTTTTTTTCGGGGGGTCTATTTTACAGATTAGCTAAATTATGAGTTTAGCCATCTATTTTTATCAACTCTTTTGGAGTTGTTCTAAGCCAAATACAGAATTCTACCCGGAGATATCTCTAACAAACTCCTAATTTATCTCTATTATTTTTAGGCCACATTCGGTTATATTGAATTGATTTCCGGTCTCAGCATTTCTTCGTTAATTTCTATAAGACCGGAACCGTTCAGAACGACCCGGAATGCCGTAACTGAACCGAGCCTTAATAGTCCGGAATATCAAATCTTAAACCGAACTCGTATCCCTACTGGACACGGCCAGGCTGAGAAGGCCCATCGGCCTGCTTGTTTGTTGCGCCTGGAATTAGATGAATCCGATAGTTTTATTTGACCAGAGATTTTGTCCCAGAGTCCCATTGTAGTTTTTTTTCCCGGTTACTTCCCAGAGTCCGGTCATATAGACTCAAGTTTTGGCAACTATATTTTGACCATCAACCGATCTCAGACCCCCCCCCCTACTTGCTTGATTTTTGTTTCCTCAGTTAGAGAGCGAATCCATTGCTGAGTGAGCGTTATTTGTTGCTGGCGCAATTCATTGAAAATGCGAGATGTTAGCTTCCATTGGTTGTCTGCGTGACTGCATACCTAAAGTACGTTGCACAACAAATCGGAGCATGGCGCATTAGCATTGTGAAAAACTTGTGTTGATCCGAAAGACACGGTTTCAGGCGCCTGTAGCTGCGGTACAGGAGTAGGAGGTGTGTACAAAATGTATTGTGAATCTTTAACAAACCACCGGCCAGGTGTGCGACAAAACAGAAAACAAAGGTAAGGTTGGATCTAGGTATCCTTTATCCTACTCATGGCGATCGATGTTGTAGTCAAAGTCTGCACTTTTTTCTCATTTGTTATGCAAAGTGCCGCTTCTAGTTGGGTTGGGTGTTCTATCTATCTGTAGGTGAGTTTGGTTGTTTGATATATCCAGATTTCTGAAGAGATTATTGACAATTTTGCATGGTGTGTGGAGCAGTTTTAGGTACATAATCGAGTTTGACACTGAATGAAGAATTCAAAATAGTTACCAATGACACATATTGTTATATGCAGTTATGGATCACTACTTGGACGATAATGACAGTGATGATATGCAAGCAGGGGTACCATCTGTTGTTGACACATTCAAATATAAGAGATCTAAAATTTGGGACATTTATAAGCCTGTCACCGTAAATGGCCTGACTAATACGGCGGAATGCCACTACTGCGGTGCTCGCTATAGTTGTAAAGATGGTGGTGGTGGTCAATTGTGGCGGCACTACAGAAAATGTCGAGCCAAGGACGGTCTGGGTCCGAGCCAGGAGCAACAGGATGCGGCGGGCCTTCAACATGGTATGCTCTAGTTACTAAGCTCTTAAGCAAGAGTCCAAATTTGATCTAAGTAGCTAGAATTGTAGAGTGTAGAACTTGCATAATGGTTTTTATATGTTTTTTCTTCTTATTTTTTTCTCAATGTTCAACAGATTGAGGATATTATGTGGATTTTTTTTGTTAGAACTTCTAGACTTTTTACTGTTATTTTAATTAGTTTTAGCAATATCAGTTCATTTTCCTAGGGAATGGTCGTTTCACCATGATTCAAGGAATTAATAATTTAGTTATTATACAATGTTTCAACTTTCTATCCATACTTCAGTGCCGTGAAAAAATTGGAAGGCGTCGTTTTCTTATTCATCTTAGAGTCCTTTTCATTTCCATATATTGCCCTCATGGTAGAGAGTGTGTGTGTGTGTGTGTGTGTACACATATTATTCAATACAAGTGCTACACATTATAAGATTAGTGTTTTTGATACTTGGTTGCTCTGTATACATGGTGGATTTGGACATTCTCATGGTAGTCCGTGTACTCCGTCCATCCCAAAACAATTGTACATATCACTTCTTGAACCAAACTTTTTAAAATTTAACTAGGTATATAGAAATTAATATAGACACTTGTATCTTCAAAAAGTATATTCCACAATCAATCTAATTATGCTTATTAGACATTATAAAAATTAGTGATTTACTATTTTTTGTATATATTTAGTCAAACTTAAAAATAACTATATGTATCTGTATATATCTGATTATATCGGATCCGTTTTCATCCCTAGTTGTTCCAGTCCAACTGCTTTCAACATGAACTTTCACCTGCCTTGACAAATGGTATGGTTCTCATTTCAGAATATGCTAGCAAGTTCCACAAGGGAAGCTCTGGTGATAGAACACCTGTGGACCAACACACTGTAGCTTCACCACCAAGGGATAAAATGGACCCTATTGAACAAAATATCTCATCAGCTCAGACTTGTCCAGATGTTAGCAGGAAATTTGACCAAGAATCATCATATCAAGAGCTAACTAGAATGATTAGTTTGCATGGCTATCCCCTTTCCATTGTCAAACATGAAGAAATGAGGTGTTTTGCAAAGGGCCTAAATCTAGCGTTTAACATGGCTTCAAGCATTGATATTGAAGAGTTTTCAACTATTTTGTTCCAGGAGAGAAAGGCTAGCCTTAAGAAGAAAATTGCTCTTTCATCCCATCGGATTTCGTTATCAGCATGTTTGTGGACTCTTGGATCTGAGGCCTTGGTCAAGTATCTCTGTTTGGCAATGCATTTCATTGATTCAGACTGGAAACTTGAAAAGAGAATCATCAAATTTGGTGTATTTCAGCATCACCCACTAATTTGGATAGGATAATACATTTTAAGGACGCTCGCGCACTAGATTCTGAAAGTGGGCCATTTAATGTCATATGGGAAGCTATAAGAGATTGGAATCTTGATCGGAAGCTTTTTAGCCTGACATGTGTCAGTGAAATCAGAAACGATGAGCGTACATCTAACCTGAAGGACTTTCTCATCCAAAGGAAATGCTTTCCTATTGGTGGTGAGCTATGCAATACTGCTTGTCTGGATGGTACGTGCTTAACAGCATTGTTTCGAAAGGGCAACCCATGCTTAATCTTGCTGGTGATATACTAGAGAGATTTATCCAGGCACATATGTCTTCGTCGCTGGCCCAACAGAAGCTTATAGAAGTTACTAGACATATGGAATTGAAATTTCATGAGGAAGATGCAAAATTGTGGCACAAAATTTACTTCAGGCTTGAAGTTCTTTTGCATTTCAAGAAGACATTTCCCTCCGAAGAGTTGTTACCTGCAAAAGAAACTGAAACCGTTGAGTCGGTTTGCAAGATATTAAGGGCTATTTATCATGCTGTTGAAGTGTTTTCTGGTCCTATTTGTCCGACAGCAAATATGTACTTCAATGAATTGTGGATAGTTAGGACAACTTTGGAAGAACAAGCGTCTACCGATCATACTGAACTTTCTAGAATGGTCTGGGAGATGCAGGAAGCACTTGATGAGTTCTGGCAAAATTCATGTGTGGTTGTCAGTACCTGTTGTTTTTTGATCCAAGATTCAAATTTGCTTTTATTGAGTTTCATCTAAAACTAGCTTTTGGCAAAGAAGCAGCAAAATATGTATCTGCTGTACATGATACAATCTGGGAGCATCTTAATGAATTGTTGAATATTGTAGTCCTGTAGATAAGCCAAGTGTCGACACATCAATTTGTGAAACTCGTGATGTTCAAGTGGGTGGATTTTACCGTGACTCGTTGGAAGATCCAGACAAGCATCTTAATGTGCAGAGCCAGATATCGACAGAGCTTAACAAGTACCTTGATGATGACCTTGTTCCGAGGAACGATGATTTCAATATTATGAACTGGTGGATGAGTAATTCTGCAAAATATCCAACTCTCTCTGTCATGGCACGTGACATCTTGGCAATGCCTGGTTCTGCTGTTCATTGTGAGGCAGCATTAAGCAGCGTGGGGCCAGGAATTAGTAAGCAATGGAGCAAATTGAATATCAAAACAATTGAGGCTCTCGTATGCATCCGAGATTGGATTAAGTAGAATGGTAAAACTTCGATTTCTGTTAGTTTTCTTACACCAGTTTCTACTATCTAGGAGTAAGCATGCATATTTTATCTTTTTAATGAAAAATGCAGTGGCACGATTGGGGTACCACCGCTCATTACTGCTTTTATTAACTAGACATCTAGTAGCAATTTGATAATCACAGCACCCATTTTTTCTTTGTTGGTGGTTTCTTGAAGTACCGTAACTTATGACCAAAAGAAGACGCACTCTGCAATAACAATAATGCAATATCAGAGGTGCTTCCGGTCACGTAGGTATGCATTATATGATTATATATGTCTTTGTACTTAGATTATTGTATTCATACAATATGCATCATGGGTAAAATAACTCGCGAAGTAGGGTGCTGACTGTGATGATATTTAATTTATTCGCGAAGTAGGGAGTAATCTATAATATTTTTGTTTGAGAAACATTGTGTCATGACATCTTTTGATTATGGTTAATACTGCAAATATGGGAAGTAAACAGAGTCTTTTGTGTCGCATTGCGTTGGCATACATTCACCAACATGCCTGTCCTCTCTTGGGGGTAGTGCTGTAATTTATGTTTCCCATGGATAATTTGCAGTGCTATTTGTCTTGCCACTGCAGCTACCGACACTTATCGGACCTTTCTTTTATCTGTGGATAGAAGATTACAAGGACTCAACTAGTAGATGGTCATGGTGATTAACGTAAGATCGAGCATTGGGTGATATTGCAGAGGCCACATTGCAGCTGCTGGCATGTCTGAATATTCCTACTGTTTCCTCCACATATATGTGTATGCCATTACGCAGGCACAGTACTCTTCAATCATGGAAGCAACGAAAACACGGGTGTTTCCGATTTACATGCATTTCCTGAACTAGGATTTGGGCTCTGGTTCAGACTTCAGACGTGTGAGGTGCCCAATGATCCCCTGCCTTAACTTGCTCTGTAGTTGTTTGGTTGGTCTGTTTATCTATGGGCGTGGCTAGTGTCCGGACATCCGGACCGACGCCCGCGCAGCCCGCCCCAGTCCGCCATTGCCCTGCTCCACGAGCGCACTACGTCCCCGTATCTGCGCCCGCCAGTCACTCCCTAGACCCGCTCCTCTCTCTCCGCACAGGCAGCACTTGAGAGCCGGGACTCGGCGTGCCCCCGACCACAGCACCTGTTGGCCCACCCCCAGCGCCCCCGTCTATAGCCCCCCCCCCCACCCACCCACCCAGCGCGCTGCACGCACCGTCCGCCTGCCCCTTTGGCCGAACAACATAAAACACTTGCAACATGAAAAAAAAATGAATGCAACATACGTTTGAAAAACAGATGAAACCCTTGGAACATGCACTTGCAACATGTGTGTGGAACACATGAAACATCCAAAAAATAACACTTGCAACTTGCAACATAAAACCACTTGTTGCAACATAAGACTGAAAACAACTAAAATATTTTGGAATATGCCGTTGCAACATATGTGTGAAACATATGCAACATCCAGATAAAAAATGATTGCGACATATGTTTGGAAATAGATGAAACATTTCGAACAAACGCTTGCAACATGCATCTGAAACACTTGCAACATATGCAACATCCCCAATCTACTTTTGTAAAATCAAAATGGAACAATTGCAACATAAATATTAAACGTCAGAAACAATTGAAACATACATATGCAATATAGGGGAGGAAAAGACCGGGGCCGGTCGATTCCAGTTGCCGTGGTTGAAGCCAGTAGCGAGCGGCGACGCGTGAGCACCACCGCCACCAGCAACGGCCTTGGCTCGGTCGGGCGGGCGCACTAGCAGCAGTGGCGTGTGCGCACCACGGCCACCAGCACCAGCCTTGGCTCAGTCGGGCGAGCGGCCCGCTTGACGGGCGAAGTGAGCACCACCAGCACCAGCGCGCGCGATAGGAGGAGCGAGAAGCGCTCATTACGGGTCACGGTGGGCATTCGGTTAACCGAAACCGATCGGTTCGGTTCCTCGGTTATTTACGAAATTCGGTTAGCACAAAACTTAGAACCGATCGGTTAGCTAGAGAACTTGGAACCGAGGAAATTCGGTCTCAGTTAGTTCGGTTCGGTTTCGGTTAGAACCGAACTAACCGAGCCATACATTACATCAGCGAAACAGAAGGAAAGAAAAGGGGAAAAATGAAAAAAAAAATGGCAGCAGTCGCCCCTTCGTCCAGATTCGGCCTCCAGGGCAGCGGGCACACACCGGACTCGGCCTCGACCTCCAGAGCAGACACCGACGACAGGGGAGGACCGGGGACAGGGGAGGCGATGGATCCGCTATCGGGAAGCGCGCCGGGCCTAGATCCACCGCCGGCACCGGGGGCGGGCCCACCATAGATCTGGTCGCCCTCCACTGGATCCAGCCATGAGACGGCGGTGGAGGTGCCGCGCACCCCACGCCGTGCCGTCGCTGGAGGAGGTGTCGTGCCCACCGCGTCACGCTGTCGCCGGAGGAGGGGTCGCGCCCCCCGCGTCGCGCAGCTGCCAGAAGGGGACGCGCCCCAGGCTCTGGAAATGGAGAGAGAGAGAAAGAGAGGGAGAAGGAGAGGGAGGCCAGAGTGGAGAGGGAGAGGGAGGACGGAGCGGAGAGACCGAGAGAGGTGCGCTTGGTCTTGGACTCTCGGTCTCGGGAAGGCCGGAAGGGAGAGGCGGCTCGGTGGGAGAGGGAGGCATGCGGTGAGACAGAGAGAGTGAGGGAGGAGTCAAGAAACCCTAAAGGTTCGGTATTTATACTTTTAAGTCGGTTCTTCGGTTTTGTTCTGTTAACCGAGGTCTGGAACCGAATTACTCGACATTATTTCGGTTCCTGAGAACTGGGAACCGAACTAGGAACCGAAATTTTCGGTTTCGGTTAATTCGGTTTCGGTTCCGGTTATTTCGTTTCGATTCTCGGTTTTCGGTTATTTTTGCCTAGGGTTAGTTACGAGGGCAAGCGAGCGGCGCCGATGGGGCGCGCGGCAACATCGAGGCATAGTGGCATCCGCGTTTAGGATGGGACGGACGGAGTGGCAGGCGCAGGCGCTGTGGTGGAGAGGAGGGAGCGGAAGGGATAAGTTTTTTTTAGAACGGCTGGGGTAGTGGATGAGCGGTCGTTGTGCTGCATCGTGGCCCACCATCGGCGCCGTCCGGGCGGATGGACGTCCTATACCCAGCATTACCGTTTATCGATGCTACATATCTGTGTTTTGTTCTGATTTCTTAGGTAGCTTCTTGTGCCTATTTATGGATTTTTTTTAAGATCATGTCTACCTATGGAATGTAACTGCTATTCTCATACTGGGCTCCTACGTCAGCGGGTCTGTTCAATTCGCCCTGTCGACACCTACAGGCGAGGGAGGTCAAATAAACTTTAAAAAAATCATTTGGATTTGATCTGCTTCTGCTAGTGAATAAGGCCCCTTTGGCATGGATTTAGGTTGCTCTATTGTGCTACACTGTTCCCTAGAGCTATATTTCTCTCTTCCATCTTCCTCTCACAGAGCTAGGCCCTCTTTGGTATGCCTCCAGGCACCTCCGGCTTCTACCTGCAAAAGCTAGTAAAATACTGTTCATAGGAGCCAAAACTCTCTCTCCTCTACCTTTCACAGAGTCCGTAGGAGCTGGTGAAGCCAAACCGGCTCTGAGAGGGAGAGGGAGGAGAGAGAGTTTTGGCTCTTATGAACAGTATTTTCAGGCTTTTTATAGGCGGGAGCTGGAGCTGTCTGGAGCCGTACCAAAGGCGAGTGTAGGATGTGAGAGGGAGAGGGAAGAGAGAAAAATATGGCTCCATTGAACGGTGCAGCACAGAGAATTGCAGGTGGGAGTCGGAGAATCCGTGCCAAATGGCCCTAGGCCTCATTTGAGCATGTACGGATCGGACGGGATCTGGGCCGAATCCCGCCCATCCGGGAACCAGGCCCACTCCACCCGAGGCCAGGAAAAAACGCCCCCGACTCCGCGACAGGCTGCCAGCGCTCCCGACTCCCGATTCCGCCGCCAGCGCTGCCGGCTGCCGCAGGCGACGAGCGCCGCCACCGCTCGCGCCGGATCCAGGTAAGCCGCTTTCGTCTCGTCGGTCTCATCCCTATCGGCTATCGCGTCATCCCCTCCTCCTTCCCCTTCCCTTCCCCTTCCCCTTCTCCTCATCCGTTTTCCTTGCTAGGGTTGGAGTAGACACGGCTGCGGCTGCGGCGGTTCAAGGTCCTTCGAGGTGCGTATCTCGTCCTCCTCCTCTCCTTGATTCCCTTCTCTCCTTTTCCTGCACGATCTTTGCGTTTCTGTGATGAATCAAGCCCGGATCCTTTTGGGTGGGTTATATGCTCCACCGGTATGTGTTGGGCTAGTGGTACTAGTAGATGTAATTCAACTCCGATTCGGTGTTTAATTGATCCCCCTTATGCCGGTCGATGGTAATCCCTTGCTTTGCTTTGGTATTGGTTTGACTTCTAAAAATAGACTACGACTGCTCTGAGTAAGTGAATATTGTTGCACGGCGTCTTCTTCGAAGAAGACCTGGTTGACTCGTCTACAGCCTGACGTTCGGTACTGCTCCGGTAGTCCAGCGCATCTGCTTTAGTGATGTGTACAAGAACTTTTTTGTTGACTGTTGTACTCATGCCAGTTACAGACTGATCATGCTGAGTAGTGAGGGTGGCTGATACTTTAATGCTCTTGTCATTTGTCTGCTCGTGAACTCTCAAGAATTGAGAATATTCCTTTCAGACGGCGAATCATGTTTGTGCCTATGTAGGGAAAGGAGACCTGGGTAATGCATTCATGATTCATATACATCGTCATATGCCCATATGAAATTACTAGCACATCCAATCTTGGCAAGGACCTGCCTTAACAGAATTTAAGCTTCCATCTATCTTTGATAATGTTGTAACTAATGGCATGCATGTTATCTTAAGTTTGGCATGTAATTTCTTTTAGTGTGACATGGGAACTAAGTAGTTCCAAGTGGGCACATTACCATGTTTCTCTGAGTGCTAGTCCCAGATTGCAGATGGATTACATTTCTGCAAGAGCTTAGATGTGATGATTAATTTGGTTCTGGACCTGTAGTTTGGTATTTAACATGATATAGTAGTTCTAGAATGTACTGTTTCCCCTTCTCAACTCAAAACTTAATTTACAGGCGAACTTTTGCTCCAATGCATCCATTGAATCTGATTTTTTGCAAGATGTTGAGTTCTTCACAGTGCGTATCATGTTGACAAGACACATGTCAGCTTTACTCCACCTAAGCCAACTACCCAAGAAACCACTAAATCGCCATGTTATTTAATAAGTTCTATTTAGGCAGTTGCAGCCTAGCTTAAGCTTACGTGCAGAACATACTACACCTCATTTTTGGTAACTGATTCTGAAAAGAGATTATTATGAAAACTTTAAATTTGTCCTTGCTATCTGTAATAGAGATAATGGAAAGTGAACCATCGAACTAAATTTTTTTTCATCATCAAAGCTATTTGCAAAATCCGTAACCTGTTTGACCAATACTGGCAGGGACTGATTGGTTGTGCAAATACCTATTTTTAAATTATTGAAAGTGGGAGCATGAAAGGTAATTTTGCCTTCCTGTCATGCATTATACTCCATCCGGTTTCCTAAAGGATGTCGTTTTGAGATTGTCTTAAGTCAAACATTTTAAACTTTAACTACAAATAAATTCTTTTGGGTAGAGTTTGGAAATATGAAAGTGATGTAAGTAGATTCATCTCAGAATGTAGTTTCATAAAAGTATATATTGACTATATTTTACAAATATTTTATAGCAAAAAGTAACGGTCAAAGTTGTTTTTTGGAGACCGTGTCGCTGTCCAAAACGACATCCTTTAGTAAATCGGAGGGAATAGGGAATTAGGGACAAGGTTAATAGATCTTGTGATTTTTTTTTTGTGAAAACCGTTGGGGCGTAACCCTCTTAGTGACGCGCCATATCGGAACCCGGGTATGGTGTTAAATGAGCAAGGGCCGGGTCGTCACCCCCGTGACGCGCCGTGTCGCGATCTGGGCATGGTGTCAAGTGAGCAAGGATCGGGTCGTCGCATCCTTAGTGGCGCGCTACATCGGCGCCCGGGTGTAGTGAAAAATGAGCAAGGGTCTTCACATCTGAATCGAAGCTAGTCGAACCAACTAGGATCCGTTTAGTTAGTTGGAATGTAGGGTCGCTTACAGGTAAGTTAAGAGAATTAGTTGATACCGCGACTAGGAGGCGTGTAAATATATTATGCGTTCAAGAGACTAAATGGAAGGGTCAGAAGGCGAAGAAGGTGGACAATACATGTTTCAAGCTTTGGTACATAGGGACAGTCGCGAATAGAAATGGAGTAGGAGTTTTGATTGATAAGAGTCTCAAGAATAGTGTGGTGGGAGTGAGAAGGCAAGGAGATAGGATTATCTTAATCAAGCTTGTCATTGGTGATATGGTCTTGAACGTAATTAGTGCATATGCCCCCCAAGTAGGCCTCGACGAGAGTGCTAAGAGACAGTTCTGGGAAGACTTAGATGGGCTGATTAGAGTTGTACCTAGTAGTGAGAAGCTTTTTATAGGAGTAGATCTTAATGGGTATGTAGGTACTACAAGCGCAGGTTTTGAGGCAGTTCATGGAGGTTTTGGGTATGGTAGTAGGAATCAGGAGGGGGGAGGAAGTTCTGGACTTCGCGGTAGCTTTTGAGTTGATGATAGCCAACATTTTCTTTAGAAAGAGAGAATCTCATCTAGTGACCTTCAGTAGCGGACAACACTCTAGCCAGATTGACTTTGTCCTCGCAAGAAGAAAGGACAAACGAGCATGCTTGGGTTGCAAGGTGATACCAGGGGAGTGTGTTGTTTCTCAACATAAGCTTTTGGTGACAGACTTTCGTTTTCAGGTGCGTGCTCGTAGGGATAAACAAGGTAAGATTGAAAGAACAAAGTGGTGGAAACTGAAAGGGGAGACGTCAGAGGTATTCAGGGAAAGGGTTATCAAAGAGGGCTCTTGGAAGGAAGAAGATGACATAAACAACATGTGGGAGAAGATGGCAACCAACGTTCGGAAGGTGGCCTTAGAGGTGTGTGGAGTAACCAAAGGAAGTGGAGGCGAGGCTAAAGATACTTGGTGGTGGAACGAGGAAATCCAAAGGGCTATTAAGGAGAAGAAAGAATGCTATAGACGCTTGTACCATGACAAGAGTGTGGACAACATAGAGAAGTACAAGGTGGCAAAGAAGACTGCAAAGCGAGCTGTAAGTGTGGCAAAGGGTAGAGCGTACGAGGATCTTTACCAACATTTGGGTACGAAGGAAGGAGAGAAGGACATTTATAAGATGGCTAGGGTTCGTGAGAGAAAGATAAGGGATTTCAACCGAGTTAAGTGCATTAAGGATGAAAGGGAGCATCTCTTGGTGAAGGAGGATGAGATTCGACATCGATGGCAAGAGTATTTTGACAAATTGTTCAATTGTGAGAATACGGACACAACCTTTCAGTTGGATGACTCTTTTGATGACACCAATAGGCGCTTTGTGCGGAGAATCCAAGAATCTGAGGTCAGATAGGCATTGAAAATGATGAAAGGAGGTAAGGCGATGGGACCGGATGGTATTCCAATCGAGGTGTGGAGATGCCTCGGGGACATAGCTATAGTATGGCTAACCAAGCTGTTTAACCATATTTTTTGATCAAACAAGATGCCTGACGAGTGGAGAAGTATATTGGTACCGATCTACAAGAATAAAGGGGATATTCAAAGTTGTACTAATTACCGGGGAATTAAGTTGATGAGCCATACTATAAAGCTATGGGAGAGAGTTATCGAGCATCGCTTGAGAGCAATAACGCGGGTCTCTATGAACCGATTTGGTTTCATGCCCGGTAGGTAAACCATAGAAGCAATTTTCTTAATAAGACAAGTTATGGAGCGGTATAGGGAGAAAAAGAAGGACCTACACATGGTTTTTATTGACTTGGAGAAGGCTTATGACAAAATACCAAGGAATGTTATGTGGTGGGCTTTGGACAAATATAAAGTCCCAACGAAGTACGTCGGGTTCATTAAGGACATGTACAACAATGTTGTGACTAGTGTTCGAACAAGTGATGGAGACACGGATGACTTCCCGATTAGGATAGGACTACATCAAAGGTCAGCTTTGAGCCCTTATCTGTTTGCCTTAGTGATGGATGAGGTCACAAGGGACATACAAGGAGACATCCCTTGGTGCATGCTTTTCGCGGACAATGTAGTGCTAGTTGATGAAAGTCGGACAGGAGTGAATCAGAAACTGAAGTTATGGCGGGAGACTTTGGAGTCCAAAGGTTTTAGACTCAGTAGAACTAAAACTGAGTATATGAAATGTGACTTCGGCACTACTACTCGGGAGGAGGAAGATATTAGTTTGGAAGGTCAAGTAGTGCCTAGGAAGGATACATTTCGATATTTAGGATTAATGCTACAGAGAGACGGGGATATTGATGAAGATGTGAGCCATAGAATCAAAGCAGGGTGGATGAAGTGGTGCCAAGCATCTGGTGTCCTATGTGATAAAAGGGTACCACAGAAGCTAAAAGGTAAGTTTTATAGGACGGCGATTAGACCTGCTATGTTGTATGGTGCAGAATGTTGGCCTACGCAAAGGCGACATGTTCAACAGATAAGTGTCACGGAAATGCGTATGTTGCGTTGGATTTGCGGTCATACAAGAAGGGATCGAGTTCGGAACGATGATATACGTGATAGATTAGAGGTAGCACCAATTGAAGAAAAGTTTGTCCAACACCGGTTGAGATGGTTTGGACATGTCCAACGGAGACCTCCAGAGGCACCGGTGCGTAGTGGAATCATAAGCCAGGATAGTAACGTGAAGAGAGGCGGAGGAAGACTGAAGTTGACTTAGGTAGAGGCAATAAAAGGAGACTTGAAAGGATGGAATATATCTAAAGACTTAGCCTTAGATAGGAGTGCTTGGAAAACAGCTATTCACGTGCCTGAACCTTGATTGCTTCTGCTGGGTTTTAACTCTAGTCTACCCCAACTTGTTTGGGACTTAAAGGCTTTGTTGTTGTTGTTGTAAAAAAAAAAACTTGTCTACTTTACTGCGTACCAGTTCTTGTGTGTTCTTTGAGGATACACCCCCTTGTGATTTCACTTGTTCGATGTAATCATATGTTTGTTCCATGTTTAATGGAAGTTTCTGTGTTTGTGATAATTGAAATCAACCATCAAGATAAATGTTATGCCAATGAGCTATGGCGCAACTGCAGTTGCTCTAAGATGAATTTGTGCTTAAGATGAAATTTTACAAGCAAGCATCTTTTGTAACTTCAGTCAGATTATTTGCTGCTCTTAAGGGTAGCATTCAAGCTATAAGAATATTAAGATAAAGGCCTGTGATTTTTCTTCCTTACACAAAAGGCATTCCCAGTCCCATCCATCTACATAGATCTGAGAAGTTTAACAGTGTTATAACCTGCAATATGTCTTTTGCACTTTTAGAAGTGTTATAACCTGTAATTTTGTAATGTTTCTGGTTGATGTGGATGGGAAGAAAAAACTGATCAAATTTGCAATTGTTTTCCCAGGGTCAGGACAATCATTGATTTTGAACAAACAAGATGGAACCATCCTCACAGCCTCAGCCAGTGATGGGTGTTGGGTCACAACCTTATCCTGCTGCTGCTGCTGACTATGCACCACCCACAATGGTACCTGGAGCTCCTGCGGTTCCTCCTGGCTCACAGCCAGCAGCACCATTCCCCAATCCAGCTCAACTCAGTGCTCAGCACCAGATGGTCTACCAGCAGGCTCAGCAATTTCACCAACAACTTCAGCAGCAGCAGCAACAGCACCTCAGGGAGTTCTGGACTACCCAGATGGATGACATCGAGCAAACAACTGACTTCAAGAACCACACCTTGCCACTTGCAAGGATAAAGAAGATAATGAAGGCTGATGAGGATGTGCGGATGATCTCTGCAGAAGCTCCCGTTGTCTTTGCGAAGGCATGCGAGGTATTCATATTAGAGCTGACATTGAGGTCATGGATGCACACAGAGGAGAACAAACGCCGGACCTTGCAGAAGAACGACATTGCAGCTGCCATCACCAGGACTGATATATATGACTTCCTGGTGGACATAATCCCGAGGGATGAAATGAAAGAGGAGGGACTCGGGCTTCCAAGGGTTGGTCTGCCGCCTGCTATGGGGGCCCCAGCTGATCATAGTTCTTATCCATATTACTATGTGCCAGCACAGCAGGGGCCAGGAGCAGGTATGATGTATGGTGGTGGCCAGCAGGGTCACCCGATGACGTATATGTGGCAGAAGCCGCAAGGGCAAGAGGAACAGCCCCCTGAAGAGCAGCAGCAGCAGTCTCCCTGAAAGTAGCCAAGAGATGATAACAGCAAAGCAATTAAATCTTGGTCTGAACTTGGGCCTCTAAACAAATATGATTTGGTTATGTTAATTGTGCCGATGATTGCTGGCAGAAACAGTTGCCATTAATTAGGTCATAGGGTTTCCTGATGGTAGTTTCGACTCCCGACGCTGCCATGGCAGCAGTAGAAAATGATTGTGATTTGGTAGGTGATTTGCGAACTAATGTAGTAAGATTACCCTTTTCTGTCTAATCCAGTATACCAACTGTTGGGCCAATGGAGGCCCTTGTATGAACTGAGTGGTGGGACTTCATACGAGGCCTGTGTTTGTTTGCGTTATTTATTAGCCATTGTACTCTTTGCTTGGCTAGAATATCGTTTTCCTGACCAGTCAGTCACTCAGTCACCAAAGTTTCATAGCTAAGAGTAACACAAATGCTTATTCCAGGTAGACTGAAAAGTTTCTTTCATATGGCAAGTTTTAGGCACTTAAGTACAAGTGTTAACTAAATAAAATTTGGTCGACCATAAAGCCCATATCAGCAACCAGGAAGTGCACATTTGGCAAAGAAGCTTTTCATTGTTGTTTCAGTTCTACCGCATTTGTTATTCACAGCATTGCGCTAGTCTACCACTCCGATTTATTCACAGAACCTCTTCACAGATTTACAATACGGGACAAGTCACCCACAGAATAATATAAGCGTTAAAGCATGCGAGTACTTAATTTGCCCGCCCCGAGCGCGCAGACACAAAAAAAACTCAGAAACGATGGTGTTCAAGTTCATTCTTAGCATCAGCATCTCCCATGATCCCCTTTTCTAGTTCCTATACACCAGCTTATTCTGAATTTCTGATTCACTGTTTACATGAAGAGGAAAGAAGCTGAAAGCAGAAGCAGCAGCCAAAAGCCCGAAGCTGAATGGAAGCTCAGTTCAGGATGCCCAAAGCTCGGTAGCATTCGACGCTGTCCTGGAGGGTTTCCTCCATAGGCCTTGAGGTCCACCCTAGCTTCCGAAGCTTCTCCGTGTTATATGTGTTGCTACCTTCCACTTCAACGAATCTGCAAGTCATTGTATTGTGATGGAGAAGGATAAGTTGCACCCAAAGTTCAGTAACTATAGTTCAGATAAAAACAAAGAAGCTCAATGACTGCTAAACGGCGTGAGTAATGCACTAGTTATGTTTCTCTAAAGCAATGATACAATAAGATCGCTATCATGTGGTCAATCAGAAAAAAGTTTTGACATTTTAACAGAAAAACATGGGGTCACTTTCATATTTATTTACCAGCTCAATTCTGGCCATGCATCCACAGGTGTACAGAGAGCAGAATCAACTCCATCAAAGATACCGAGGGGACATGCAAGAGACAGAACAAAATCAATTGCCGAGGAAGAGACTTACTTTTGCGGGCAAGTGTATGTTGGATATGAGGTCTTTAGTATGTTTACAATATCAGAGACTCTTAATGCTGGTGAACTGCAGAGGTATCGTCCAGATGCCTGCGGATTTTCGTAAGCCAACAGAAGGGCATCAGCTACGTCACGAACATCCACTAGATTCTTGGGTCCATTATTAACTGTCTTCTGATCTCCTGCACAAGAACAGCATTTACATTCATAGACAGAATGCTTGACTCCTAAGCCCTAACCATACACTAAATGAAGTGGTTTCTATTGGAAACAAACCGAAAGATAAATTAGTATGTTTTTTCTGTGTGCACTCCAGCAAATAGAAAATCTATATGCTCTGTAATGGTAGCTTTAGGGGGGGCTCCTCCTGAGGGGCTCCTCCGGAGGAGCCGCAGCCGTTTCTGAGGAGCCAAATTGAAGATAGTTTGACTTGGGGTGGTTTTAGGAATTGATTTTTTTTGAGACGGAGGTAATATTATACTATTCAATGCAAATAACAAAAAGACTAAATAGTAAAAAAAATGAATGTTCTCCACCTTTGATATAACTGAGGAAGATATTAACACTTGTATTTACTGTAGGTTGCAACAAAGGTCCAATTACCAATGATGGGCAAATAGTTACAATGTCTAGCCCAGTTTTTGCTGCGTAAGCAAAAGCCTCATGCTCTGCCAGTGTTTTAGAAAGGAAATACCATTCCTACAAGAACAAAACTCAGATGAATTAGTATGAGTAGATTCAGACATGACAATTACCTGTTCCATGGAAAAAGTAGCCCATAAGGTTGAATGAAGAATATTACATTATCGAAATGTTAAACCAAACAATGATGGTAGCTTCATTTTTTAAGAAAAGATCCAAATGGAAAACCAGAGAGAGACGCATGAAGGAAAATCGCCTCTGAAAGCTTGAATCAAGGCCATAGTTACAGCGCTCTCGGCAGTAAGGAGTAAAGACACAGGGCATAATCGTGGATGATCCTGATCCTGTAAGTAATACTAAATTCGTTGGATAGTACTCCGTAGTAGATTTTAAGTTTCCTTGTAAAACGTGAATTGACACAGGACAGCTCTGTCTGTATTTTCTCAACTCATTGTGTTGCTCAGACAGTTCAGACCTAAAGATAAAACATGCTCCATCCTATTACATGTGCACATAAAGCCTTGACAACTGAAACAACGCAGTTTTGCTTTAATGGATTTACTATAATACCTCATTTTTTCTGCAATACTCCTCATCTGACCAGCTATCCTCAGTAAAGGCCTCGCCCTTAGGCCAGTTAGGATTATTGAAGACAGCAGCCACTGAAGATACCACAACAACTCTCTTCACTTTTGCCTCGTAGCAAGCTTTCAGCACATTCAGTGTGCCGGTTACAGCAGGAGCTATGACATCTTCCTGCAAAAGGAATAGAAGTATATAGAACATCATAAGCACTGTTTATTAAGCTGGGAATTTCACTCTCGTGCTGACAGTGAAGGCCAATGAACCGAACATATTTCCTATGGACCATAAATGCACATTTTGGTGGACTCTAAAACTTTTACCTCATCTAACAAACTAGTAAAAAAGGAAAATCATTGAGAAAATCTATCCATGAGGTCATGTAAACTTTCCTGAAGCGTAGAGTAATAGGCAGATATGATCGACAGCATGCTTTTTCAACCCTACTTATGCCTTTTTTGTTATAAAAAAAGGGAACAAAACTAGCTATACATGTAAGTATAACCCATTAATTAACCCATTCTACAACCTGAAAAGTTCAGAAAAAGCAATGCAAGGACCAAACATTTTTTGAGCAAAATCACCTCAGGGTTGGAGGGTTGACCGGAGGGGACAGGGCTGGCGACATGGAAGACACCCTCACAGCCAGCGACCGCGGACGCAACGCTGCCGTAGTCCAGCATGTCAGCCTTGACCAACTGCAACCTCTCGCTGGCATCTTCCAGTGTCATAAGATGGGCATTCTTGCCATCACCTACAGCGGCAGGAGCACAAATCATCACCACCGTTACTTCTCTTGAGATTCAGAGGACGAAGTTTATTGCTGTGACGTGATGAGAAGCTCTTAGACTTAGAGCAAGGGGCTGGTGCCTGGCAGGGACGCGAGACATACCGAGATCCCGGACGGTGCCGCGGACGGCGTAGCGGGCGGTGGAGAGGAGGAGCTTGACGAGCCACGACGCCACGAAGCCCCCCGCGCCGGTCACGCACACGGTGACGGCGCCCCTCTCCGCCGCCTCCATGCTGCTCTCGCGTCCTTCTCCCTGCTCGGCTCAGCTCAGCTCTCTGTGTGGCTGAGTGCCCTGCTGCTCAGCTGCGGTTCTTCTTCCACGGTGGGTGGTGGACGTACGGTCAACTGCAGACTGAAGCGACCGCCGATCGAGGCGGGCGGTTTGGCGAGTTCTGAGATTACTATTTTTTCCTTCCTTCCTTTCTTTCTTTTTCTTTTTCTTTTCTTTCTTTCCTTCTTTGCTTTCGCCTCCGGCCCTCTGGTTATAAGCGAGATAATTGGAATTTTGCCATTACCAACCGCTCGTTTGCCATCCCGCAAAAAAAGATTCACTTCTTTACCGCTGGACACCCTCGCTGAAATGCCTTTTTATCCGGCCACCACGCCAGCATGACCGTTTTGCCCCTGCTTCTTCTTCAACGGCAGAAGATGGAGGCGACGTCCCCTTCCCCGTCCCCAGCGCCTGCGCGTGCGCCAGGCCCCGCTCCCCGACCCACACCACACCGCCTTGGCGGCGGAGGAGAGGCCACCGAAGAGGGCTAGGATGTGCCTGCAGTGCGGCGCGGCGGTGACGCCGCTGTGGAGGTCGGGGCCGATGGGGCAGGGCACGCTCTGCAACGCCTGCGGGGTCCGGCTCAAGGCGGCCGGGGCGCTGCGGGGGCAGGTGCAGCGCCACCCCACGCCGGCGACCGCGAGGACGCCCGCCCGGCCGCCCCCGCCGGACAGCCCGGTCTCGGAGTCGTCGCCCGACAGCCCGATCTGGGAGCCCGGGTCAGTTCCCGATGTTTACCTGGTGAGGAAGAAGCTTCTGAAGCGGGGGAGACCTCCGCCACGTCCGAGGACGGAACCCGCGCCGGCGCCCGCGCCAGCGGTGTACCTTGTCAAGAAGAAGAAGAAGGCAGCTTCGGCGAGGAAGCCGTGGCGGCCCACGAAGTCGGTGAAGCAGTGCCTGCACTGCGGGTCGTCGTCGACGCCGCAGTGGCGGGAGGGGCCGCTGGGCCGCAGCACGCTGTGCAACGCGTGCGGCGTGCGGTACAGGCAGGGGCGGCTGCTGCCGGAGTACCGGCCGATAGCGAGCCCCACCTTCGAGCCGTCGGAGCACGCCAACAGGCACAGCCAGGTGCTGCAGCTCCATCGGGAGCGGAAGAGGCAGAGGCAGAGCCACCACCACCAGCACCCTCTGCCCGCGGAGCAGCACCCTCCGCGAGCCATGGACGTGCTCCAGTTCCTCCCCCCCAGCGGTGGCACGTGAAGGAGGAGTAACCGCCGACGCCGCTCCACCAGCCTCTGCACCACCCGGTGGTGGACGGCAGCCTTGCCGGCGGCGTTGGGGGCGGCATGGTCGACGCGGCCGCAGATGCAGATGCAGGACACTGCGGCGGCGGCAAGGGAAGTGACCTGAACAACGCGCCGAGCTCGCTGGACTCACTGCTGCTCGAGGGCCCGTCGGCGCCGCTGCTTGTCGACGGCGACGAGCCCCTGATCGACTAGCTAGCCAGAGCCTACTAGGGGCAATCCAGCTGATTTGAGAGAATAGTAATCTTCTTGGACCTTCTCCTTTCCTGAGATCACTCGGTAACTTTATCGACTTTGGTTGTCTGTATTTGTTCGTCTTTCGGCAAATTTTCGTATAACTTTATCATGAATGGCAGGATTTGTAGCAATTGCTCCGGCCAAATCTTAGGTGTTGTTGCAACAGAGATGATGATGGCAATGGCATGATCGACCTGCAACTGTGGTTTCATGACTTCCAACAGAGATGATAATGATCTTGTTTTTTTTTACACCCCTCCGAGTCCTCCCCGGCACCGCCGTCCATGTCGCCGTTGAAGAAGAAGCAGGGGCAAAACGGTCATGCTGGTGTGGTGGGCGGATAAAAGGGCATTCTAGCGAGTGTGCCCAGTTTCATAATAGCAAACGAGTGAATTCCTTTTGCGGGATGGCAAACGAGCGAAGCCCACGTTTCATAATGGCAAAATTCCAATTACTCATACCTTGCGGATGTATGTTTCGAGTGTTTCAGATGTTCCAGATGTATGTTTCATCTGTGTTTTCCAAACGTATGTTGCAAGTGTGTTTATCTGGATGTTGCATATGTTTCACACGTACCTTGCATGTGTGTTTATTTGGATGTTTGCGTATGGTTGTGATGGTTTTCAGGTGTTTTTTCAAGTGTTTCGACTGCCTTTAGACGTATGATGCAATTATTATATTTAGATGTTTTAAAAGCAGATTGGGTGTTGCATCTCTTCTCCCCACCTTCTGCTACATTGTCTCTCCCAGCACCGGTAGGCATCCATACGACGCTGTGGCTAGGTCCTTCCGAATCGGAGGCGTCGCACGCCCTTCTCCTCTTGTCGCTCGGGCGGCGTGGGGCCCCGAGTGGAGCGCAAAACGGACTGAGCGCAGGGGCGTCCGGACGCTAGCACTTCCATTTAAAATTCGTCATATGATTGTTGAAAGATTCGGATGGCAAGCTAAACGTTTGTATGTTTAAATCAGTATCAATGTGACACGATGTTGATGCAAATGGTCATGGTCGAAGAGACCAAGAGTAGCACCATTAGACTTTTTTCCTCCTAACCAAACCGAATCTTGTGTCACTTTCTCTCTTTTTTCCCCTAACCAAACCGAATCTTCGGAAGGTTTGGCTTTGAGAGCTAGTTTAGTTGTCACCGTCACGTGATGGAATTAACAATCGGGGGATGACCGGATGAGCTAGAGCAGAACTGAATGATAGATTTTTTTTTTCATAGTGAGTTTGGATCATTTGAGATGAGATTCGATTTGGATGTTTGGGCAGCTAACAGGAACCCAGGTTTTCTCAGAGTTCCTTTTCCCCTTTCGTTCCCTTTCCAGACAATTGGTGCCTCAAAGTGTACAACACTGGGATTTGGCAATCGCTTGCAATTTTGTGCACAATTTAATCGCAAACAGTTTTTTCCCAGGGAAAAAATGCAATTTTTATCTTTTCTTTCATATCGAATCTTGCTTTGTCACACATATCTCCATGAACTGATCAGGCCATCTCTAAACAGACAGAGAGAGAATGCATTTGCACTGAATTGGAAACAAAGATATACTCAAGAAAAACATAAATGTTTCATCACTCATCGGAAGCATTTGCATGCATTACCACACGTGTATATAGTAGTTTAAATATTGTGATGTATACAAGTTTAATTAAAACGGAACTCACCATTAGAAGCACGCCCTTTATTTCACCCGCAAATAATGTCATTTCTATTTTTCGAGAAGTCAAATATTTTTAATTTTAATGACTAATTATATATAAAATAATATTAATATTTATAATATATAACTAGTATATGAATATAATGGCGAAATATATTTTCATAATACAGAGGCTAGGCATCAATCGGATAAGCTTGTAGTAGACTTGTAGCGAGGGAGCGCATGCAGAACCACATCGGTTGCCGACTTGCCGTGTGTGGAATACAGCAATGCGGGGGAGAGAGGAGAGAGAGAGGAGCCTAGGAAAAGTGAAAAACAGCTTGTGATTTGAGTTTTGGTGGTTACCTTTCTGTGTACATGGACTGGCTGTTCTAGCTCAAGCCAACAATTTTTGTTGGTCTGCGTTGGTCTGCCACATCGTAATTTTAAATATAGAATCAATATATATATATATATATCCTTTTAGAAGAAAACATGAACTAATTTCATTTTTTTATAATTCAAATAAATTAATTACGAACTTCTAGAAATCGAACCGGATTTTATTGTTATTAAAAAATAGAAAACCACTTTTAAAACCAGTGGTGGACCAAATTTGTACGGTTTTGATAGTCGGAGGGTGTCTATTACCCGGTTTCATAGTTGAAGGTTGAAAATCGAACTTCAATGCGAGTTGGAGGTTGAAAAATGTACTTTACTCATAAAACTATTAGCAACTCTTACCAAATTATAAGTCTCTTTGACTTTTTTTTGGTACATCTATTTTTGCTATGTATCTAGATATAATATATGACCCTGCTCGTTTCTCTTATAATCCGTACTTTTCAGCTTCTTTTTTTTCCAGCCGGAACAATATTTTTCTCTCACAACAAATCAGGCGGAACAGTGTTTTAGCTTATTTTTCAGCGAAGTGAACGGAACCTATGTGTAGATACATAGCAAAATGATATACATAAAGAGTCAAAGCGACTTATAATTTGGAATAAAGGGAGTGCTAATTTTAGCCTCTAGCTTTTAGTGCTACTAAATCGAAACATGCCCTTAAATCACACCTGGTGCAAGCCACCGATCGATCGTGTGACGACCAGACATCCTCGCACGGCGGGAAATCTGCTCTGGCACTCCGTCATTTGCCTGTTGTATCCTGTGATCCGCCGCAAGAGCATAACCACCGTCCACATGCTGCCGGCTCTGAGTCACTGATCTCGGCAGATAATACTACTACTTATATATTAAATAAAAAGGAGATGTGCAGGAACGAATAAGAGGCACAGAGACTGCGTACCTCGCCGGCGAGGATCACTTGCCCGCCATGGTTAGTTGGTTACGGCTTGATGCAGAGGGGGGTGACGTCACTTGCTGCCACGGCGATGACGCGAGTCGCGAGGGGGCAGGGTCTTCTGTCTTGTCGCGGCTGACGCCACGGGCCCGCCTGCCCACGGCGCAGTCACCACACCACAAGTTATGCATCCGCTTCGACCGCTATAAAGAGCGCGCGACCACCGCCTCCCGGCCGGAGAACCGCCGGAGGCGAACTGCACTCGGTTATTCCTGCGCACGCATGGCGGAGCACCTCCTCTCGATGGCCGTGCACGACACCCTGCCGCTCGCACGGCTTCTTCCAGGTCCACTGCCCAAAAATCTGCACGCACGCTTCCAGTTATGAGCTTATTAGACTGTCCCCCAACGGCGTGACCTAAACGCAAAAATACGTCACGCACAGTGTTTTTTCCCTAGATCACTCCTCCAACCGAAGACCGAAAGCAGCTACGCATTCTGCGTCCTCGGCGAGTTGGAAGACAATTCTGCGTCCTCGAAGAGAGCCGACCCAAACCTGTAGTGGTGGGCCCGTAGGAACCGTCGGGGCAGGGCGCGGCCGGCTCGACTCGGCGAGGCGGGTCCGCGGCGGAGCACGGCCGGCGGGGCGAGGCGGGCTCGAGGACCCTCGTCCGGGAGCAAGGTTGCTCGCGTCTGGGAGCGCCCTACCCCGTGCTTCCCTCGGCGCGGTGAGCTTCCCCACCGGAGCGAGCGGCGAGCTTCCCCCGGCACGGCGAGCCTTGCCCCGCGCTGCAGCCCACCTCCTCGCCAGCGCGCGCGGCAAGCTTGCTCCGGCGCGACGAGCCCTGCCCCGGCGTGCGGCCCGCCTCCACCTCGGGCCACGCCATCCTCCTCACCTCCGCCATCTCCCTCCTCCACACGGGATCGAGCGCGGGCGCGAGCTCCGCCGGCGCGGGCGCCACCGGCCAGATCCGGGAGAGGGAGGGTCGGGGAAGAAGAAGGGGAGGGAGGGGGGCCGGATCCGGCGGGGAGAGGGAGGGAGGAAGGCAGGCCGTGTCCGCGACGGGCGCCGCGCCGAGGGGCGTCGTGGCCCCGCTGCCGCCTGTGGTGAGAAGAAAGTGAGGGAGCGTGAGGATTTGGGGCTCATCGTTGGAGAGGTCAAGAATGGGGTGCGTCGGATATTTTACTATGCGTTACCTAAACTGTCAAATAGGTATCCGATTTGGGTCACGCCGTTGGAGTCAGTCTTATGGCAGTTTCGTTGCCGATCGAGCGGCCGTCCATGTGCTGCCGTGGCTCGCTTTGCCCGTGGCCCTCCAAGTGCAGCTGCGCCGCCACGTCCACCTCGTCGCAGACGCAGCAGCTCACCACCGTCAGTCTCCTAGTCGGCCTCGGCCATTACCGATGCAAAGAAGAGTCACGAGGACATCCTCCATTTAAGGGCATATTCTCGGTATATTCTCCAAAAAGGAGGGACCATGTCTCTGCCGACTCCAATCCAAACAGCTCTAAACGTAGGATCGCCCCATCCCAAGCATCTTCAATTGTTCCTAGAACCAAACACATGTCTAGTGCTCGACAAGATGAAAGCTAAGCAGCACCCAAAAGGTTGTTTTGCTTCTTAAAACTGATAGGGAGGTATCATATGATATTTGGAAAGATACCACAGAAAATTTAAATTATCGCTATGGTTCATGAATATTTTAGCTAAAGATAACTCAATAAAGAGTAACCGGAATAGAACAAGTCTTGCATGTGTTTCAATAATTGACCAAACTA